ACTGAATACTGTAGCACAATGGTAAATATTTGTATATTTAAACATATATAAACATAAAAATACAGTATAAAAGATAAAAAATGGCACAACCCCAACATAGCACTTACCCTAAATGGAGCTTGCAGGCCTGCAAGTTGCTCTGGGTGAGTCAGTGAGTGGTGAGTGAATATAAAGGCCTAGGACATTGCTGTGCACTACTGTAGACTTTATAAACATTGTACACTTAGGCTACACTAAATTTATAAAATGAGATTAAATCAGTAACAGGAGAAAATGATGCAATCAAGAGACACGGTAATCATGAGATGCTGCTGCCAATGTAACAGTGTACTGTTTTATAGCAAACTATTTTTTTAATGTTTTTATTGATTTTAGAGAAAGAGGAAGGAGAGGGATAGAGAGATAGAAGCATCAATGAGAGAGAGGCATCGATTGGCTGCCTCCTGCACGTCCCCTACTAGGAATCGAGCCTGCAGCCTGGGCATGTGCCCTGACTGGGAATAGAACGGTAGCCTCCAGGTTCACAGGTCAACACTCAACCACCGAGCTACACCAGCTGGGCACAGCAAACTATTAAAAATTTTTAAATTTATTTTTAGACAGAAGGAGAGAGAGAAATATGGATATGAGAGCAAAATATCAACCAACTCCTGCACGCCCCCTACTGGGGATTGAGCCTGTAACATGGGCATGTGCCTCAACTGGAAATCAAACCAGTAATCTTTCGGTGCATGGGACAAGACCCAACTAACTGAGCCACACTGTCCAGGGCACAAACTATTTTTTGTATAGGTAGAAATAGTAATACTCTAAGATAATGATAAAAAAGCAAACTATTAAAAATGTTTAAATTTATTTTTAGACAGGAGGAGAGAGAGAGAAATATTGATATGAGAGCAAAATATCAACCGACTCCTGCACGCCCCCTGCTGGGGATTGAGCCTGCAACATGGGCATATGCCTCAACTGGAAATCAAACCAGTAATCTTTTGGTGCATGGGACAAGGCCCAACTAACTGAGCCACACTGCCCAGGGCACAAACTACTTTTTGTATAGGTAGAAATAGTAACACTCTAAAATAATGATAAAAAGTGTAGTATAGTAAATATGCAAATCAGTAACATAGTCATTTATTATCATCAAATATTAAGTACTGTATATAACTGCATGTGTGATTTGACTCAGGTTTGTTTACATGAGCATCACCTTAAACACATGAGTAATGTGTTGTGCTATGATGTAACCATGGCTATGTCTCTAGTTGATAAGAATTTTTCAGCTCTATTATAATCTCATGGGATCACCATCATATATGTGGTCTGTCACTATATGGCACATGACTGTATCTAAAATACAGTTTTAAAGTCCTAGAAAACAATAAAATAGCCAAAAAGAAAATATGCAAAATATAGGAACCAAAAAAAGTGAACAAACAGCAGCTGTCACTAAAAATTCTCAAGATATTCTCTCTTGAGGTTAAAGGCTACCTGAGCACAGAGAATAGGTGAAATTTTACTCCACACCTGTTTCTTTTAGTTTTGTACCATGTGTATGTATTGCCTTTTCTGAAATATATATAAAAGTGCTACTTTAAAAAAATATTACATGTTTTATATTTAGCCACGTGTATTAATTTAGCCAATATTTTCCTATAAGATTATGAATTTCCTGAGACATGTAAAGACAATGTAGAATTTATTTTTTCATTTACTTCTTATATATCCTAATATTTAGGATAGGACACTGCTTCCAAATATATTTGTATATTGAACAAAGCTCACCAGTTTTATGGAGGCAATGGTCATTTCTAATATTGTCTCTTGCAACCTTCCACACATTTGTGCTTGGTGAAAAGTGGTGTTCAGTAAGGGCTTAATGAATGAAGGTGATAGATAACTATGTATTTTGTCTTTATCATTCCAATCTGGTAAAGCTTTCAGGTTTTAAATACTCCTTTTGCTTTGTATTCCTTGACTAATTTCTTTCCCAAAATATCAATCCTTTAATATTAATTAGTTTAAGACAAATAGAGCAGAATAATTGTTTATTCATTTTTATCCATCATTACAGTGACAAATTTCAAACATTTAAAAAATATATATTTTTATTGATTTCAGAGAGGAAGGGAGAGGGAGAGATAGAAACATCAATGATGAGAGAGAATCATTGATCGGCTGCTTCCTGCACACCCTCTACTGGGGATTGAGTTCGCAACCTGGGCATGTGCCCATGGCTGGAATTGAACTTGGGGACCCTTCAGTCCACAGGCCAACGCTCTATCCACTGAGCCAAACCAGCTAGGGCCAAACATTTCAATTATAGTCACTCTAATTCTTCTCTTTTTAAAAATATCACATGATCTCACTTACATGTGGAATCTAATGAACAAAATAAACTGGTGAACAAACATGGTCAGAGTCATGGAAGCATGGAATAGACTGACAGATCTCAAAGGGAAGGGGTGGGAAGTGGGTTGTTGGGAAGAGATTAACCAAAGAACTTATCTATCTATATATAAAAGGCTAAGTGACCAACTATCCGTCTGTCCGACTGGCCGGTACATATGATGCGCACTGGCAATCCTATATAATAAAAGGGTAATACCCAAATTGACCCTAACAGCAGAACGACTGGGAATGACTGGTCACTACTGCACACACTGACCACCAGGGGGCAGACGTTCAATGCAGGAGCTGCCCCCTGGTGGTCAGTGCACTCCCACAGGGGGAGCTCTGCTCAGCCACAAGCCAGGCTGACGGCTGCCAGCACAGCGGTGG